CCTTTTGTAGGAGCTGGAGAGAAGTTTGGCAATCTGTTCTGTTAGAGGTGTTGCTCCTACTGTATGTACGTACAGATAATTATCACCTGAATATGCAGCTCCCCTCGGAGCATGGAGCATGTAAGTGTCAGATCATTGTTTTGCTGTACCGTGTCAACATATTTCTACTGCTTAACACTTTTGGCTCCCTTACTCTCAGTGTTGTTTTTGTTTTAGGTGAGAAAAACTGATCGTAATAGCACAAAACAGCAGACAGTGCCAATGAGAGACTTGATGATGACTATAATGAAACATTTAACAGCAAGAGAACTGGATATTTCCCTTGGAAATGATTGGCGACCAAAAGCACTGCAAAATAAAAGTAATATTGCAATCTCTGTGCTGGATGTGAAAATGTTTGCCAAAGGGTTTGCCATATCAATTTTAATAGTGATGTTTCAGAACTTCCTTCTTTGGTCCCCAATTGGCCCAAAAAGAAAAACTATTTATTTCAGATTTGAAGAAAACATCTGAGAAAATTGAGAAATATTATATCTGTAACATATTTAAAAAAAGTCTCGGATATAACAATAATGTCTGCTTGTTTTCATGATTCTCTCTTTCTTCTTATATCAGCGTAGTATATAAGTATATCTTTGCTTTTTCTGAAGGGAGATATTAAATGTCTCCTATTAAACTGTCTGCCTTTTATTGATGTGTATTTGTGTAACTTTTCTTCTGTAAACCACTCATTTGGGCCTCTGCTTCAGCTTTTGACTCTTTCCTTCTTTTTCTCTTCATCCCTCCCTCTGACAGCAGCGCAGGGTTTCATGTGTCTCGTAGCTCAGACTCTTATTCATCACAGCCCAATGAAGAGACCACTGAGGAAACCAGTGTGGCGTTAAACCAAGCCAGTGGTCTGGTCAAAGGGAACCACATGTGCTCCTGACAGTCCTCCACTGACACACACACTCTGGGCCTGACACAGTCCAGACCTCAGAGAAGAGGAGCTGGTCCGAGCGCTGACACAGAGCGAGCTCAGGTGATCAGGCCCAAGGTGAGCCGCTTCAAATGTAAATGTCACAGAAAGTTAAACCATTCCCTGAACATTATAATCAGCTACTTTTTATGGAAGTTAATGCAAATTAGGAAAGTGTAAGTAGCAGCAGCTGTGACTTTTCTGCCCTCTTGTGAAATGAAACAATCACACCAGGATCTGTTTGAGTTTTGTAACGATTACTGAGGCCCAGAGTGGCAGAATGAGCAGCAGCTTTTCTAAGAAAAGTGAAAAATATTTGACCTTTACAGATGTGTTCTGAGGGATAAACAGTGTAGGCTATTAAACAGTTGGGCACAGTTTGGTTTTCTTTGACTGAAGCTTGTAACAAGTTTTCTGAATTGGTTGGGTTTATTCACAAAAGGACAGCAATTGGAAAAAATGCACTACTTTGATTTGACCATTTTCCATTATGTTAATCCTAGCTACTTCAAAATTGATGAAAGGACAGATGGAGAAAAATATTTGTGCGAGTTTTTCAAAATATGATTGAATGTTTGTTGTGTTTGTCTTTCATGTTCAACACAGAATGATGATATGATCCAACTTTGCCCATTTTCGTATTTTGTACATATTTATTTTACTTTTGCCGTTTTACTTTTAACATGGTTCGCAACATGCTAGCCGACCGCACCTACTCTGCCATACAATATAGCAGAGAGGAACTTCTTCTATTGCGAAACTTCGTGGACAAAAATAACCCTCCGACAGACAATGGAGATTCACCATGGCTACCTGTTGCTATTCTACCTGAGAGACGCAAGGAGAAAACAAAATGCGGGTGCCGGGCCGGGCTGCTGGTCAGACTGAGGAAACGAGAGAATCGACCCCCTCTTCCGAGTATTCTTCTGGCTAATGTTCAATCCATTGAAAATAAGCTAGATGAACTCAGAAGCCGGATTGCTTTTCAACGGGACATTAAGAACTGTAACGTGTTAATTCTCACTGAGACTTGGCTCAACCCCGCTATCCCGGACTCCGCTATTGTCCCTGATGGATTCTCTATTTTTCGTCAGGACCGGACTGCTAACTCGGGGAAAAGTAAGGGAGGCGGTGTGTGTGTAATGACTAACAACAACTGGTGCTCAGATGTGAAGATTATTTCATCGGACTGTTCCGCACATCTAGACCACCTCATGATCTCATGTCGGGCCTTCCATCTGCAGAGGGAATTCACATCTGTTGTGATAACAGCAGTGTATGTCCCCCCGCAGCCACTCGCCGACAACAACACGGCACTCGATCAGCTGTTTGGGATTATTGATAAGACCGAGACTTCACGGCCAGATGCGGCGTTCGTTGTGGCCGGAGATTTCAACACCGCCAACATGAAGAAGGTTTTGCCAAAATATTACCAACACATCAACTGCCCGACGCGCGGGGGAAACATATTGGACCATGTTTATTCCCCTTTCCGGAATGGATATAAGGTTCTCCCTCGCCCTCCCTTCGGCAAATCAGACCATATCTCACTACTGTTGTTGCCTGCGTACAAGCAGAAACTTAAAAGGGACAGACCGATTACAAAGACAGTACAGCGATGGAGCGAGGAGTCAGATTCAGCACTGCAGGATTGCTTTGCATCTACGGATTGGACTGTGTTTGAGGACAATAACATCAACACACACACGGACACTGTCATCTGCTACATTGGGAAATGCATCGATGACGTGGTACCGAAGGTTTCTGTACGGACATTCCCAAATCAAAAGCCCTGGATAAACTCCGATGTGCGCGGCAAGCTGAAAGCGCGCACTATCGCGCACAGGGCGGGGGATTTGGAGGAGTACAGGAAGTCTAGGTATGATCTCCGGAGAGCAATTAAAAATGCAAAGAGACAGTACAAAGAGAAGGTGGAATCTGACTTCAAAGGCTGTAACACTAGGAATATGTGGGCGGGACTAAGGACAATGACTGACTACAAAGGAGCAAGGGAGTGTCTGCGTGCGCATCTCTCCCAGATGAGCTGAACAGTTTTTTTGCACGCTTTGAGAGCAGCCAGGCTGTGGAGGTACAGAGGGACCAGGAGCTACACTGCCCTTTTGTTTTAAATAGGGCAGATGTGTGTAAATCCTTTAAAAGGGTTAACCCACACAAGGCTCCTGGACCTGATGGCATCCCTGGCCGTGTTCTCAGGGTGTGTGCAGTTCAGCTGGCAGAGGTGTTCACAGACATCTTCAACAGGTCCCTGCTGCAGTCTGTAGTCCCCACATGCTTCAAACATTCCACTATCGTTCCTGTCCCGAAAAAGACAATCATCACCTGCCCCAACGACTACCGCCCAGTAGCACTCACCTCCATCATAATGAAGTGCTTTGAGCGGTTAGTCAAATCATTCATCACCTCCTCCCTCCCTGAATCTCTGGACCCCCTGCAGTTTGCCTACAGAGCAAACAGGTCCACAGACGACGCCATAGCCCTCACCCTCCACACTGCCCTCTCACACCTGGACCCGAAGAACAGGAACACATATGTGAGAATGCTGTTCATTGACTACAGTTCAGCATTCAATACCATTGTGCCCTCCAAGCTGGCCATCAAGCTCAGAGACCTCGGGCTCAACAGCGCCCTCTGTGACTGGATCCTGAACTTCCTGACGGGCAGACCCCAGGCAGTGCGGGTGGGAAACATCACATCCTCCACCCTGATCCTCAACACCGGTGCCCCTCAAGGCTGCGTGCTCAGCCCTCTCCTCTACTCCCTGTTCACCCACGACTGCGTGGCCACACACAGCTCCAACACCATCGTGAAGTTTGCTGATGACACGACCGTCATCGGCCAGATCACAGACGATGACGAGACGGCGTACAGAGAGGAGGTCGAAAACCTGACATCTTGGTGCCAGGATAACAACCTCCATCTCAACATCAGCAAAACAAAGGAGCTGATTGTGGATTACAGGAAGCAGCAGGGAGAGGGACACGCCCCCATCGCCATCAATGGGACTACGGTGGAGAGAGTCAAAAGCTTCAGGTTCCTTGGGGTCCACATCACTGAGGACCTGACATGGTCTCTTCACACCACCACCATCACCAAGAAAGCTCGACAGCGGCTCTTCTTCCTCCGCAGGTTGAGGAGGTTCAAAATGGATTCCAGGATACTCTGCAACTTCTACAGGTGCACGATAGAGAGTATCCTCACTGGCAGCATGACGGCCTGGTACGGCAGCTGCACCGACCTCGATCGTAAGGCTTTACAGAGGGTGGTGAAAACTGCACAGCACATCACCAGGACGGAGCTGCCATCCATGGAGGACCTTTACTCCCAGCGGCTCAGGAAGAAATCACTACGGATTATCAAAGACCCCCATCACCCCAGCCACAAACTGTTCTTTCTGTTGCCGTCTGGCAGACGTTACCGCAGCATCCTGGCAAGGACAAGAAGATTCGGAGACAGTTTCTTCCCGCGGGCAGTGAGACTGTTAAAAAATTGAACTGTTGAAACAACTTCAAACATTCATCTGCTACTCAGTAGTATGTATCTAATACCTAATATATATATATATATATCATTCCAATAACTTGTATATAGACTCTATTGCACTATTCCACATCATAACTTTATCATAACTTTATTTTATTTTATAACTATTATTCTTTTTGTATTGCTCTTGCTCTTATTGTTATTATGTTGCATTGTTGGAGAAGCCTGTGACATAAGATTTTCAACTACATAATTACTCTGTAACTATGTCAGATTGACAATAAAGAACCTTGAACCTTGAACCTTGAATGGAACAGAAGGATGCAATTCTACATTCATGGAAACATATATGCAAATAAAAAATTGGATATGTCTTGTTTGTAAGAGGACTGATAATCACACGATGTGGGTGGATGGGGATTATGAATGACTTAAAGCCTTGGGCTGTATCCTGCTGTACAAGAAAGTCAGGAAAAGACAGCAAGACAGAAACAGATATATGTGGACTAACAATAATGTAAATCTAGGAAAGTGTGCAGACCTTAGTGATGGCGAGGGCGCATGCTTGTCCCCAGATCTCGATCAGCTGCTGCTGTCCAAACTTGTAGTCCCTGAGCAGCTCTGTCTCGATAGCTTCTGCCTCCCCTTTACTGTGAGACACAGAATAAGACACAGGGTTAGCAAGAGAGGTTTTGTTCAATAACAACATCATCATCAACTCAAACATCGTCGGTATCATCATGCCATCACAAGCGTGCTCGAAGCCTCATTAAAAGGCTTCACACATCATTCTTAATTTAACCCACCAGCAGAAACACACTGAATTTAAAGTGTCTGCAGTGTGAATCAAATAAATGTTCTGCCGGAATGTACTGTTCAAAAGCAGCAGGCCAAAACTGCAAGATACGGCAGGCATTGTTTTTCACAACACAGAAATAACACATAATCGAGAGGTTGTATGAACAAAGCAGTGACCCATCATTCACAGAAATGTATTAAAATCAATCAATAAACTCAAACAAATTTGAATTAATTTCCCCAATATCACAAATGACAAAGTTGTTGCAGGGGGCTTTACAGTGTGTTCAGTATACAACACTCTCTGTCCTTAGATCCTTGCATCAAATAAGGAAAAACCCCACAATGTAGGGGGAAAGGGAAGAAACCCAGGGAGAGCAACAAAGGAGTGATCCCACTTGCAATATGGACAGACATGTATTATATAGTATAGTGTGTGTATGGATTTAAAAAGATAGTAAAATGACCACATAGACAACCCAAATGAAAAAGGATCATTTGAAGGTATATAAAAAAGATTTACTTTAGCTTAAATGCCAGGATGTGCTGTGAACTGTATTTGTGAACACAACCTGCAGTTGATGTGATTTCAGTATTAATTATGCCAGGCACGAATTAGTTTTGTGATCTAATGCTCACACATTGTCTTTGTGCCTTTGCTTCCTCTGGCTGCTGTTGGCACGGTGACAGTGTGACTAATGCTTCGGTGCCTGTTGGAGCTGCTTATAGAATGGAGGTGTATGTGTGTCAGTGTGACAAATGCCTTGTTAAAACAGCACAGCAGCTGGCAGGAAGAAAAGGAGCAGGTCAGGTGAAAATCACTCAAGTCCTAATTTGGGGTCTGATCCTGTAAAGTTGAATACATCTCTTTCACTCTACAGACCCCTGGTGGTCCCCCTTAGTACTGCACCTTCATAAAGAAAACGGATGATTAATGATTATGTTCAGGTAGAAATCAGACTGGATGTCTTAACTTGTTTTTCCATTTTGCTGTACTTTAAAACCTATCAGAGACAACTTTAGAGCAGAGTGATGGATGCAGCAGGTGGAAATTTGATTTAAGAGTTATTATTTCTGATATAAAGATCATATATCAGACCGATAAGAGCAGATGAAAGATGGATCAATGCATAAAATCAGTATTGTGCTTCCATTTAGCACTCAAGCTTTCAACTCTGTTACATATCTTTACCTATCAAAAGAGAGCTCTTTGCCTAAGTGCAAGTGTACGTGTTTGTCTGTGCGCGTGTGTGTGTGTATGTGCGTGCGTGCGTGCGTGCGTGCGTGCGTGCGTGCGTGCGTGCGTGCGTGCGTGCGTGCGTGCGTCTGGGGGGGATGTTTGTTGGTTGTTTTCTTTAGATTACATTGTGATTTTTTCCTGTTACATCATATGTTGACAATCAGATAAACATACAATGTGCAGACAGACATTTGCTTACAGATGAATGGAAGTAATTGAAGAGGGCCTTTATGTGGAAATATTGCTGTTTTATATCACTGCCTCTCTGAACTGCTATTCAGCTCTGTTTTCCAGGAAGAAACAGGACAAATAAACACTATTATTGTTCTGTTTATGCTGAACAATAACAGTGAAGGGCTGTGTGTGTGTGTGTGTGTGTGTGTGTGTGTGTGTGTGTGTGTGTGTGTGTGTGTGTGTGTGTGTGTGTGTGTGTGTGTGTGTGTGAGCACGCCGGTGTATCTATGTGGGGTTTCTGGCATTTACCTGTGCCAGAGGAGCTGCAGCAGCTGTCACCCACGGCTCACCTCAGGATGTTTCCTGAGGCACTGTGACAAGATGATCTTTGAAAAGTTCACCTCAATCCACAGGGTTCTTCCTGGCAGGACCAGAGCGCCTTACAGCTATCATTTTGTCAAACTCATTCTACATGAGGATAGGCAATTTTATTTGCTGCTTTCAAAACAGAGAAATGTGTTCCAGTATGAGTACAAAAAAGTCTAAATCTATTCTGTTGGTGTCGGTGGAGAGCTCTTAACTCAGACCGATACTATCAAAGTAACAGTGCTGCTGCTGAACAGGCACTGACTATTGATTTTTAACTTTACTCACAGAGCAAAGTGTTGTGGGTGTACTGCTCAGCTGCTATAAAGTATATGGTGACAGCCAAGTGCCACTACCACAAGGGGGCAGCTCACAGTGTTCATACTCTAAAGACAGATGGCTGATTCATGCTGCATATGGCATGTTTTTTTTCCATTACCAGCTCTTATCACACCTATAATAATTCTTAATCAGACATTTGTTCACAAAAATGGTACGTATGAGTGCAAACAGTGATTGCATTTAAAGTGTGAGCACCTTGCAAAAGCCTCAACTCGGTGTTTAAGGAAAGCAGGTATGCAGATATAACCTTGCCCTTGGTTTTAATTTAACACTAAATGTGTGCAGGTGTGTGTGTACTAGCTTGTGTAGTGCACGTGCAGATAAAAAAGGGTCTTCTGAGGATTATCCTGTGTTGCACCTGTAGCCACAACCATTCAACCGCCAGCAACCTCTCCCCCAGAGGGAGGGTTGATTTCCCCATGCTTTGTGTGATGTGCTCCTGCAGTTTCTCACCTTCATTGCAGCGCTGCTCAACTGTGATCAACCTGCTTAATGACTCTGTTTACTTTACACATGAGATACGGTAAAATGAAACTTTAATGGGGCCTGTGGGGAGATAAGGACACTTCAGTAGCAAATAGCAGGAGCTTAAAGGCTGCAGCAAAGATACAAAATGTATTTACATAATAATGAAGAGGTTGGAGTTCGCAAAAACATTAAAATGGAAATGTTAACACATGAATAAATCATTGTGGAGCTGAAAGTGAGGCATTTAGAGTGTACAATATATGAGCAATATCATCACCTAATTGTTTCGAACATAACTCTGTTGTTCTATGCAGAAAATATAGCAGCATACCATGTGAACACAATTGCTGAACACAAAAATATCTGCAGCTCTGCAAAAGAAACTGTGAAAGTAAAGTATAAGACAAAAATACAAAATGTACCCTGTCATCTCAGCTGAGAAACCACCCATAAACATTGTGTTACCATATATTCTGCAGCCGTGAAGCAACCTTGTACCATGAGAGGTGAATTAGCCACTGAATGTCAGAAGGGCTTCTATTTGCTAACATTGGAATACTAAAATAGCCACATTTCTCACACCCTCCCTTTTAATTCACCTAATGTCCACCTTTCCAGCATGATCTTCTGGTTAGATAAAGAGCAAGATTAAAATAGCTGGAAGAGAAATGCTGTAGTCGAAATCTTTCAAGCCACACATTGTAGCCTAAACCTGGCAGGGGTAGCTACTGTATGTTATGAAGCAAAATCATAAAGAAACAGACAGATAATGTCCATATGAACATCATATTTTTACACTTACAGTAATAATAACCCTCCAGCTATGTTTTTAGCTAAGCTAGCTACATGCAATGCAAATGTTAGCTACCAGGCTACACAAAGAGGGTGAACATATTAACATAAACATTGGTACAAATATGTTAGCATTGTCATTGTAAGCAGTTAGCATGCTTATGTTACCATGCTTTCTTAACACTGCACTATTGCTAAGTATAGCCTCACAAAGCTGGTAGCATGGCAGTAAAATCAGGCCTTTTTAACAAAATGAAACGCTGCCTGACAAAACAAGACACCTGCAGCTCACGTTCAATGCCTACTTAATGTTGTACAAACAGCCCAGCTGCTGCTACATGCTCCAGATTTACTGTTGTGTAATTAACTAAACTGTCTTCAGTAGTAGAAAGCCATGTGATGGGAACTGTGCTGGTCCAATAAAAAGCCCTCAAAAAAATCTGCCCTCTTCTCTATCCCACTCTCTGCCCTGCCTCTTTCCCATTATCTGTCCACCCCCCACCCCATGTAGTACTCAATCGATGTTAATGATACTTCAGGCCTTTCAAGCGTCATTACAGTGCCACATCAAATGACATGCTGATAAGAAGATCACTGTTTTTATGTTTATTTCTAGTCTCTTCTAATTACCAATCTGCGGCATTTTCATACTAATTAGCTTCTATTTTTGTTGCTGTCTGGTAAACAAAGTGATTATTCAGCCTAAGTGCAGTGCAATGTAAAAGCTTTTATGTTTACTACACTTGCTAATAAGCTACATAGCAACTGTTCACTATGGTAGGCCTCTCTCAGGGATAGATATTTCAGTATGCAGTAGCTGATGTGTTCAACAGTTTGGATAAATACAAAAAGCGCAATAGATCTATGGAAAAAAACTCAGTACGAACATCTATTTGGTGACAATACTAACATCTATATTCTTTTGTTTCACAAATACAAACCTGATCCACTTTTTATTTGTAGTAATTCAATACTTTTTATCATCACTCTTGTACATAGCACACACATTAAATCAAGACTCTGCATTTAACCAATCCTAGTAGCAGTGAGCAGCTATCATATAAGAAACCAGGGGGCACTATCAATAAAAAGTCTCCTAATTGAATTAAATTCTATGTATAAAGTGTAAAATCTGTGACGGTTGCTGTTTGGAAAACTGTCAAGTTTCTATGAAAACAAAATGGCAAGAAGAAGGGAGGGTTGGACTGTGTGGGTGGATGAACAGATGGGTCTTTTAAGCATCTCCCCCGTATGTTTTTCTAAATTATCTCTAAGTCAATTGGAATATGCCTGTGCCGTTCTGTGTGAAAAGTGTAAAAGCTGACATTGGAAAATACACATAAATAAAAAAATGAAATATGAAAAATATGAAAAGAAGCTTCTACATCATGATGCAAAAAATAACTCGGTAACGCTTTTTTGACCCGCTTCACATTTGATGGTATAAATGCAGCAAGAGACCCTGAGATA